TAGTTCCCTGAATAGGGAACGAGATGCTGCGATGACGTCATCGCTTTGGGAACACCTCCGGTGTGACGAATGTCTGAAGCCCTTATACCATCACGCCAATTTATTGGCCAATAGCGCTTAGCACCGCCCCAAGCATACCTCACGTATGCTCATATATGCGTTTCGTCAGATTTTACACTATGACGAAGGAAGAGCTATTGTCCAATCATGCCCCGAACCTGAGTCAGCAGGTCGTGTCTGAGGGGAACCTCCCAAGGGGGCCGGCTAACAGACTGACCAATTCTGAGAAGCACGTATGAGAGGGCCAAAACGGCACCACCAACAACAGACGTTCACTCTGACCAACCTTACACTGAACAGAATCGTTTGGGAGCAAACGGGTCAACTGGAAGGCATAAGACTAGTCCTGGCCATTCTTGGGCTAGAGCATCCACACCCAGAGGCAACAGAGGAGACAAGGAAACCAGAGCGGGCAATGCGCATGCTCTATTATTTTTTATTTTTTAGCAAACAAATCCACTTCTGCTCGGCCAAACCTCTGCCATATGGGACTCACCACCTGAGGGTGCAATCTCCATTCTCCAGCCTCCAATGGATTTGAAACTTTAGTCTTTGCAACTTTACAGATCTTCTTTATGCACCAAGAGCTCGTAACACTCCAAAGAGAAAGGAAAAATTGAAATCGCATCATATGACCCCTTTAATAACTTTTGAACCGCTAATCCTATCTGAATGCTTTAAAAAGTGCGTAAAGCGGAGATTCTCATTTGGATATTCAGAGGCTCCGTAGTGTACGTGATTACGTCATCACATTTTGACAACATTGATTCATCAGAAGAAACCAATGCATTTCGTTCCTCTGAGCCAAACAGAAACAGAAAAAAATAACACATTTGCATGAGAAAACTCTCTGAAAAAGCATAAAAAAATACACACGACAGAGCACTTTGACATAAAACAAACCAAAAACAAGGATGAAACAGCGGTACATATAGGATAAAGCACTGGAATTTATGTCTTCGCGTCGCTAGTCGATGTCCCGGTAAAATCAATTCCGACGAAGATACAGCCAGCGGATCGATCAGTTTATATTATTTATATTATGTAAATAATTCTTATATAATTCATAAAGATAATTTGCACTATTTTTTCTGTTGCACTCTGAATATTTTTCACTCATTTTGTGTGTAGTTTGTGAATCATTTGCGCTGTTTGTATTTTTTTTGCAGAAGACAATTTGTGCAATTGTCTTTACTACTTGCTGCACGGTTTGTGTTTATTGTTCATACTCGGATTGAAAATATATTTCTCTGAAAAAAAAAACTTTTCTACTGTGTTTTGTTATTATATAACACTCTTTCCATTTTCTTTACTCCCTAAACGTTTTTGGACACATCTCTATTGTTAGTAAACTAAATAGGCCTGTTTTTCACTGAAAAGCGCCTATAACAATATTGTAATAAATGGCTATAACTTGCTTGGGGAATGTTATATGTAAACAAAATTTTATTTGGAAGTGTAAAACACCCAGATACAACTTTCTAAAGAAAAATATCCAAACTTTAGGAGTTTCTATTTGAGTACACAGTAAAAAACACCCAATTGTTGCTTGCATTTTTCTTAAAATTCTGTAAATTCATTAATTCTTAGAGAAAACAAAAGGAAAATTGGGACTTTAAATTAGCTAGACTTAAACTTCAAGTTCTCCTGTTTATAATGATATATGGCACTTGATGCTGACTGCTAGAATAGGTCTGAAAAACAAAGAAAAGTGCAGGTGTGTCAGGCGCCCCAAAAATGTTCTAGGTCTTTAAGGGTTAAGTAACAATGTACTGTATAAATAAGTAAATGTGTTTTATGTTCAAGCACTCAATATTAAGACACTGCTACAGTCAAAGCTTTGGCCAGATGGAAAGTATAGAATTTGAAGGGTTAAACAATTAGGATAATGACGTCAGACATTTTACTGTTAAATGTACTGTATGCACGTTTGCATGTCTATTGCACTTGTGTTTTTCATCATACAATTTTTTACATGAATATGTCTACTCAGCACCAAACTTGCACAAATAAAAATGCATAATACATAATTAAATACAAGATCAAATTGTATGTTTTTATTTATTTTCACATAATTTAGTCATAGTATCCATCCATCTATTCTCCAAACCTCTTATTCTAATCATGGGCCGCAAGCAGAGAATCATGTTGGATGGATGCTAAGTTAATTTTTGTATTAATTTATTACATTTATGGAGTCTACAAGCTGTTATGTTTGCTTCAGCGGTTGCTCCAGTTTGGATTAGGGTCTTTAGTTCATTTAAACAAAGTCTGCTGCCTTAATCTCCCCTTCCGTACCCTGCCAGAACGTGATGGATGTATAGAATTATCCCCCAGCTGTTAGGTAGCAAAAACTACCAACAATGTGACCCAACACTCTCACAAAAAAGGTACCAAACTGTCACTGGGGGGTACCCTTTTTATGCTACAAATATGTACAATTTAGGGGTAAATAAGGCTTTTCTACCTTAAAGGCACAATATGTAATTTTTCGCCGCTGGAGGGCGCGTATTCAAAATAAACAAAGAAGCAAAGGCGTAGTCTGATGACTCTGTGACTGAGTGTGGAATCATGGGAGTTGTCGTCTTCATCCCCACATCTGATGTAAAGCTTCTTTGGTGTTTCCATGTTTTCTACAAAACAAAACCGGAAATTGAGGGGTTATGACGTCATTGGCAGGTGACACAATGACACTATGGACACGGTGTCTGTCACTAGTTAAAATTGCTTATTTCTCTGGATTTAAACATTCTTCGAAACATTTGGGATAATGTAAGTACACAAGTCAGGAAAATATATAACACTGTTCTAGTGGTTTTTGGATATTTTAATAAAAAAATTACATATTGTGCCTTTAAGACACAGCCCCAGTGACAGCTTTGTACCTTTTTTTTTTTTGAGAGAGAGAGAGAGATCAGATGTTTGCATATCTCTGTGCAGAGATATTTACTTGGTGTGCATTTGAAATAGGCAGAGAACCACACTCTTAAAGATAAAGGTGCTTCACGATGCCATAGAAGAACCTTTTTGTCTAAATGGTTCCTTAAAGAACCTTTAACATCTGAAGAATCTTTCTGTTTCACAAAAGGTTCTTTGTGGTGAAAGAAGGTTCTTCAGATTATAAAAAGGTAAGAAAGAGATGGTTCTTTAAAGAACCTTTGACTGAATGGTTCTTTGTGGAACCAAAAATGGTTCTTCTATGGCACCGCTTGAAGAACCTTTTGAAGCACCTTTATTTTTAAGAGTGCACTCCAGGGTACAACTTAATCTTGTGTTTGTTTATATATTTTTGATGTACATTTATTATATACATTTTATTTCAGGCTAG